CCCCCAGGACACTCAGGGATCCGCAGCCAAACCAAACCCACGGCCATCTTCAGACTCTTAGCAACCTCACAGCGCAGGTTAAAACCGTCCTGGGGAGTTTCCAAGACTATGTTTTCCCTGGAGTACCGGCTCTGTAGGGCAGCTGCAGAAGCAGATAGCTACACTTTATTTATCCTGGACTAGGGACTAGAGTGGAGCCCTGGCAGTGTAGTTGTTATACACTGGGCCAGGTCAACAGTTCAAAACCACCAGCCACCCTAAGGGAGAAAGACAGGACTTTCTACTTCTGTAAAGAGTTATAGTCTCAGAATCGCACAGGGGCAGCTACACCCTTTCCTAGAGGGCCACTAGGAGTCGGAGCCAGCTCAATAGCAGTGAGTTTGGAGTTTGGGTTTATGACGGGCTATAGTGCAAAGGTTTTTAACTGTGTGTGGGTAAGGGGTGTCGGGGGAGGGTGGTTGGTGGTAGTGAGTCATTTTTTTTCTCTCTGAAAAGGGAGCAGTAAGCTGAATCCATGTGGAGACTCATGATCTCAAGCAATCGCTGCACCCCTCTCCTTTAAGGAAATAAATGTTTATTTTTGAATAACTTGAGATTTTCAGAAAAAAACGTTGCAAAGACGGTGCACAGAGTCCTGGGATGCCCTGCCCCCAGTCTATCAACATCTGACATGAGCATCATCCATCTGTGAAAACCCAGAGACCAATTCTGGGGAGTTTGTGCCTGGCGAGCCGGCTCCTGCTCGTGGCTAATGAAGCAGTGCCTGAGCCTGTCCCCTGGCTGCCACTGGTCCATTGCTCACGAGTTCAAAGCCAGACCGTATACACTAATGTCCTGTCTTGTTCTAAGATCCAATCTAGGGAGGCACCTGGCACTCAGGACTGCATCTCGTAAAGTCCGTTGGTCACTCTGTCACCGTTGCCTGGGGCAGAGAATGGGTGGAAAGCCCGCACTGCGGAAGTGGAGGAGCCAAGGGTAGGGAAAAAAGCTGGGAGACCCAGGCTGGCCTCAGCCCGCACCCTTCCTCTCATTCTCCTGACCTCCACGCACTTCCCACTCCTGCCCCACCACTGCAGGTGGACAAGGTACGACGCCTTGGTTGGAGCAGGTGCAGCCCTCAGGGAGTCCTGTCCCTTGCCCTGTCACCTCTCCTCCCAGACCTGGAGGGCCAGGGCATTGTCTTGGTGCATGACCTAGCCAGTGGGAAGCCAAGTGTGTCTTCTGGGTTCTTGGGGGCTTGGGCAGGGGGGTCGTGGAGGCTGCTACTGCAGGTCCGGGGTGGAAGCGCCCAGGTACACTCTCAGGTCGGACAGGGTGGACTGGACCAGCTTGGCAGGGATGGTCTCTCGCTGGAGCTGACGGTAGGCGGCGTAGCGGTGGCAACCCCCGAAGGAGTAGAAGTAGTCACCACCCTGAGCCCCTTTGATCCAGAGGACGTCGATGGGGGGCACACTGTTGGGGTCCCCCTGGGAACAAGAGGCACAGAGTGAATGCATTTGGCATAACACTGAAAGTTTGCAAAACTGGCTGTATCAACACGTGGTGAGCTCTCCCATGGCAGCCTACCGTTATATTTTCAGGAATTTGGCGAGCTTGGTAGCTTAAAAAGTGAAAGGATTTACACCAGGGGAAACTGGCAGATGCTACAAATCAGGGTTCTTCTCACGCTGCTCTTAAAGCACTTCCAAGAAAGCCACCTCCCATACGATATAGCTGACATTGTTCTAGACTCCGGGAAGAGGGCACACCAAGAACAACATGGGCAGAACCACTGCCTTCATGGGGCCTGCCGTCCAGCGGGCAGAAGGACGAAAGATGTGACTGTGAGAGAGATAATAACACAGCTGGGATGGGCCAAGGGCCTCTCTGAGGCGTCTTGACTGATGAGAGTCAGCCTGGGAGGAGAGAGTTAGAACTGCTTCTGGTCGAAGCCGGTAGCCTGGGCTCAAATGTCAGCTCTGCTCCTCACCACCCGTGTGCCCTTCGCCAAGGAACCTCCTCGTGCCGCAGCTGCCCCGTCTCTCAGCAAGGGATGGAGATGACAGAATAGACATGCTTCAGAGAGCTGCTGAGCTAAATGAATTATGATGCATAAACTGCTTTATGTGCTGGGTGTTAGCTGAGGGAAGAACATGCCAGGTAGAGAGACCAACGCCTAGATCTCTCAGTGCTGCTACAAGACAAAGACCACAAGTGGGAGGCTTTCGAAAACAGACATTGCTTTTCTCCCGCCTAGGAGGTCGGATGCAGTAAGCCCTGGTGGCAGAGTGGTTACACACTGGGCTGCGGCAATCCCCATGGTTGGCAGTTCAAAACCAGCTGCTTGTTGGGAGAGAGATGGGGCTCTCAACTCCCACAGACAGATACAGTCTCGGAAACTCACAGGGGCAGTTCTACCTGGTCCTATAGGGTTGGTATGAATCAGCATCGCATCCATGGCAGTGAGTTGTTTTTTTTTTTAAGGAAGTTAGAAATCCAAGTTCAGGGTGCTGGCTGAGGGGAACATTCTGTTTGTGGGGACAATCCTTTCTTCTTGGTGTTCCTGGGTCTCCACAGGCTACCTTCTATCTCAAGAGTGATTGGCTTAAGACACCCTACAACTGATATCCCAAGCCCACACCTAACCCAGGGCCATCGAGTCGGTTCCAAACCATAGTGATCCAAATCTAGGCGTTCTGAACCTGTAAATCTTCACGGGAGCAGGCAGCCTCATCTTTCTCCAGCAGAGCGGCTGGTGAGTTTGAACCCCCAACCTTATGGTTATCCGTCTAACCCACAGTGCCACCAGGGCTCTTTTACACAGATATCACCGTATTCATGTAACAAAGAAGAGGGCCCCTGTCCCAGATGGGATTAGGGCCACACGTACACAGGGGAGGATGGACGACACACGATTCTGTGGCCACACAATTCAAACCAAAACAACTAACAAGCGCTAAGGGCCTGAGGTCCGGACAGGCTCACTGAGTTGGAGAGGCAGCGATGAGCCGGGGGGCTGGAGTGGACTCTCGGGAGTCAAAGAATAAGAGGAAGCCAAAAGCCAAACTCAATGCCGTCAAGTCAATTCTGACTCATAGAGACCACATAGGACAGGGTAGAACTGTCCTTTGGGGTTTCCAAGACTATAACTTTTTACAGGAGTAGAAAGCCTCATGTTTCTCCTGAGGAGCAGCTGGTGGTTTCAAACTGCTAACCTTGTGGTTAGCAGCCCAATGCATCACCGTGATGCCACCAAGGCTCCTTAAGAATAGGAGGAGTGGTCAGAAAAGTCAGGAGGGGCCACCCTAGGCAACATGGATTTTTTTGCTAAGAGCAATGGGCAGGCTCCAGAGTCTTACGTCGGGGAGCTTGTCATGCTGTGCTGCCCAGTGTAAAGTGTCGCCCTGGAGCGGACGGGGCAGAAGCATGGAGGACGGGGGCTCTGCAGGTGTCCAGCCTGGACGAGGGTGTGGTGGCGGGGACAGGGCATGCTTCGGGGGCAGATCTGAGAGGACTTGCATGAGGGGAGGGCAAGAAGTGAATCTAAGCTAACTTCCTGTCAGGGAGGGGCCTGGGCAGCTGATGGAGAGTGAGTTGTCTTCTGCGAGCAGGGACAGTCTGGGGTGGTGTGCATGCGTGTGTGTGTGTGTGTGTGTGTGTGTGTGTGTGTGTGTGCAGAGCCCAGCAGGGAGGCCACACTAATTGGGAAAGGCCATGGGTCCTTTTCTCCTGTCTTTTTGCCTCTTTGACAGATTCACTTATCTCTTTCTTCTCTGAGTGCTTTACAAGTAGCTCAGCCCAGCGGTTCCGAGCAGGGGCTCTGGAACCTGGCAAATGGAGTTGGATTTTCCACAGATCTGAGCCGATGGAACCTTAAGAAAGTGACTTGTCTCTCGGGGCAGTGTTTGCCCTTGTCAATCAAATAGGAATAAGACCTCTCATGGGGCTGTGGATGACTCTGCAAGGCCTGTAGTGGTACACTAGCAGGAGGATAAAACCGTCACTTTGGGGCCCTCCTCAGCGCCAGCCTGGGCCTGTGCGAGATGCTGGGGACATGGTGTGGGTAGGGAGAATAATGGTCCCACAGGTGACTCCGTCCTAATCCTGGGGATTGATGAATACGGGACCTTATGAGGCAAAAGGTAGGTTGCAGATGTGATCAGGGATTCTTGAGATGGGGAGATGATCTTGGATGATCTGGGTGGGCCCAGTGCAATCCTCAGGGCCCTTAAAAGCAGAGGCAGGCAGAGGAGGAGGTGAGAGTGATCGGGAATTGAGAGGGACGGAACCACTGCTGCTGGCTTGGAAGATGAGAGGACAGGCCACCAGGGAAGGGGTGCAGCAGGCCCCCAGAAGCAGGAAAGGCGAGGAAACAGATTCTCCCCTAGAGCAGAGAGCAAGGCACACAGCCCCGGGACAACTAGCTCGTAGCCGTGAGGCCCGTTCTGGGCTTCTGAACCACATCATGGTAGGATAGCAAGCCTGTGTCGTATGCCACTCGCCATGTTGCAGCAGCCACGGGAGACTAATACAGATGGTAAACCAAGACAGGCCTGGTGCCCACCCTCACAGTTCTCATGTGGAAGACCGGTGTCTAAACTGGCCATCAAGACCCAGTGCGGTCAGAGCTATGCTGGTGGCAGGCAGGTGAGTGGGCATGGGGCACAGAGTCCACACGGGAAGGAGGCTTCTGCTCAGTAGGAGGCAGGGAAGACACTGGTATTGAGATAGACGTTCGAGAAGGTGAAGAAGAGAGGGCGTGCACAGTGGGAGAGAGGGCGCCTGGCCAGACCCATCCTTTCCCCTCAGCCACAAACAGCCAGGCCCCGCCTGAGAGGTGGGGGATCCGGGCACTAAAAAGCACAAAGCGTCTCAGGCGGACATGAGTGCCTTTGGCTAGGATCTGGATGACGCAAGGGCACTGGGAACTTCTGGGGCTGCGCCAACCCATCTCTTGCTCTGGTGTCAATTCTAACTCTGGTAGCCCTGTAGGACAGAGCAGAACTGCCCCATCCCGTCTCCAGGGCTGTCATGGTTGGGTCTGAACCACTGACCTTTTGGTTTGAGGTCAGTCACTTTCACCACTGTGCCACCAAGGCTGTTCCCAAAAGGGAACCCAACCCAACCAAACTCACTGCCATTGAGTGGATGCCGATTCACAGAGACCCTGTGGGACAGGACAGAACGCCGTACGGGTGTCCCAGACTGTCTCTTGAGGGAGTGGAGACCCCATGGCTTTCTGTTGCGGGGCAGCTCAGGGTTTTGAACAGCTGATCTGGAGGTTAGCAGCCCACCAGGGCCCCTTCCTGGAGGATAGCCTGTGGGGATTCTAGGGCTGACCAGCCTGGAGGTTGGCTAGGGAGGGGTCGGGGGGTGGGGGTGGGGGCTAAACCCATACACACAACCCCCACCCCAAGGTTCCTGCCAATCATTCCTGAACACTGTCTCTCAGGGAGGTGCAGCCCCTTCTCTGGGCACCAGTTCCAGGTCAGACAAGGCCCTTCCAGCAGACGCGGCATGCCTAGTCGCACTACCACTGGGTGTCACCGACAGAAAGTGACCTTAGGGGTGATGGTCAAGCTCAGGGCACTGGGGCCAGGCTGCCTACTGTGAGTGCTGGCCCTGCCACTTGGTAAATGTGAGCCTGGGCAGGCTGCTTAGTCTCCCACATGGGCACTTGCTCCTCTGTAGCCAGGGCAGCGTGTTATGGACCTCATAAGGTTGGTACGAGGAAGCTAAAGCCTTTTTAAAGCTCTGGCGCCATTGCGAGAGCGACTTTGGGGAGAGTTCGTTGTTGTCATTTTAATTATCGCCCTCACTTCCTGCCTGGCTCAGATGAAAAGCCAGAGGCCCATTGAGGCCCAGCCATCAAAGGCTGGACTCTGGCAGAACCTGGAAACGGACCTAGCTCCCGCAAGGCGCGGACCAGCCCCCCCCCCTCCGTCCTGGCCCCCCTGTGGGCCTTACCTGAATCGTGTCCACCAGGCTCTGCACCTTGGCCGGGTCCAGCACCGACGGCAGCGGCCGGATGAGCACGTTCAGCGGCACGTTGTGCACGGCGGTGATGAAGCCCGAGTGGATGCTGCCGCCCTGCGCGCCGCCGCCGCTCCCGGGGCCCTCGGGCGCCCCCCGGCCCGCGCCGGCCCTGCCCAGCGCCCCTCCAGCCCGCAGTCCCATCGCGCTACCGCCGCTGCCGCCCGCGGACGCACCGCCTCCCCGGGGCCAGCTTTAACCCCGGCGGGCCGTACCACTCGGCGCGGGCAGCGGGGGTTCCCGGCGGGCCCCAGAGCGCGTTTCCCCCGGCCCCGCAGTGGCCCGGCCTCTCCCACGCCGCTCCGCACGGCGTACCCTCCGCGCTCCGCGGGCGCCCACAGACCCACCTCTCCGCCGGGGGCAGCCGGGCCGCTGCCCCGCCTCTCGCGGCCCCGGGGGTGGACGCGCCCGGCCGGGCTGACTCAGGGTGAATCTGCAGGTCGTGCGGCGGAAGGAGGGAGGAGTGCGGGTGACGCACGTCGGCGGTGAGTCCGGCTCGCGGGGGCGGGGTGCGTTGGGGTGGGGTGGGGGAAAGAAGGGGGGCGGCCCTCGGCGGGACCTGCTGAGCGGGGATGAGTCAGCAAACTGGTAAAGCCGGACAGCCCATCGTGCAGCCACAGCGCGGATATGTACCATCGAGGCAACGGTACTAATAGGAATCTGGTGCGGACTGCCCGTCCGTTCTCAGCAGTTTGCATATCCCTGCCAGGCAGGCATGCTTAGGATTTCCATTTTATAGACCAGGGAACTGAGGCACAGGGAGGGTAGAGACTTGCCCTAGGTCACACAGCTTGAGCCAGGGTTCCTTTCAAGCAGCCTCTTTGGGTAACAGTCAGAGTCATAAGAAGCCTCTTGTGTTGCCCCGGCTCTGTGTGGACACTGCTCTCCCCCACCCCCATGGGTTCCTGGCAGTCTTTGCACCTAGGTTTGGAGAGGCAAGGCCAACTGCCCAAGGTCGGGCAGCCGAAAGCGAGAGTCAGGTTGTCTGAGTCCAGCATCCAGGGCAGCTAACCAAACGCACCTTCTTGCGAATGTGGACACCAAGTGGTGGGTGGTGGTGGTGACCAAGTTCCTCATACAGCCATGGCCAGCACCACTCCCTTCCTCTCCAAGCCCTCTGTCTCCTTGAACCCAGGGTCAGCATCCTGGGGGCAGGTGGGAGCAAGGGAAGCAGAGGCTACCATAGAGTCAGCGGTTCAAACTCACCGGCTGATCAGTGAGACAAAGATGAGGCTGTCTGCCTGGGGAAGGTTTACAAAGCCTCAGAAACCTCATAGCAGGGTGGCTATGGGGTGGCATGCCAGAGCCCAGGTGGCGTCATCGGTTATGCTGCTTACCGCAAGGTTTAGTTGTATCTCCTAATTTGTTCTTTAGTGCCTGGATCTTAAACGCTTGCAAGAGGCCTTCCAAGAGACAAGAATGGGTCCCTCTTCACCGGGAGCACCAGAGGAGGAGGGGAGTCAGGAAGAAGAGCAGATGGACTATGCGCTAATTGTCTCCTTCGCCAGGAGACCAGGATAGCTGAATCGTGGCGGGCGCTCATGGCAGAGCATCTTGACCAAAGATTCTACAGAAGAATGCTGATCAAAAGAAAGACAGTCCAGGCCAGTCTCTGTAACCCCAGAAACTGGCTGCTAAGGGTCCCCTCAGAGACCAGCCAAGGGGAACACCGATACATTCCTTTTCTGCCCAAACCAGCAGAGGCCCTGTTTGTCGATTGCAGCCCAAAGTCCTGACTACCTGCTCTGTCCCTCCCTGCCTTTTCTTTTCCCTTTTTTTTTTTTTTTGGCACAAGGAACCTCATTCTGAGACATCAGTGTACAGAGAACTTCTGGGGAGGACAAAAGGATTCCTGTTCTAGGAATGTTCCTTCAAATCCTGGCTCCCACTGCCCCTAACATGCTCTGGGCCATCGCGACAGCATGGATGACAGCCTTCTGCCCTGTTGTGGGGCCTCCTCTCTCCCTGTTTTTCTCTCCAGCTCCTCTCTGCCCCCTTGACTGACCTCGGGGCGGTTGTTATCCTTTTCAGTACAGAGAGTTTGCTGACCAGCTCTTGGAGGCCTTCAGGAAGCTTCCCAATGAAGCTGCTCATCGTCGTCGCAAGGCGACAGCCCCTGCCAACGAGGGCGGCTCCCTTTCTGGGTCACATGCAGGGGCTTTGGGGGTGAACAGAATGACACTGCTTACGGTCTCCAGTCTCGGAATGGCAGGCAATCACGCTGATTCGTGAAACAGTGCTGCAAACAAGAGGCCTGTGGTCCCCAGGAGGTGATCTCCCAGCTGAGAGATGAAGGACGGAAAGGCATTAACTGGTTGAAAAGCCGAAGTGTTGGGGCCGAGAGGATGTACTCCTGATGCCGAGAATGGGGTGTGCAAAGGCCCTGTGGTAGAAGGAAGCAGAGTTGCTGGGAAGAGGAAGCCGGAACTCAGAGAGTACAAGGGCACATGGTCGCAAGTTTAGCTGGAGAAATGAAGAGGCCTGACCAGGTAGGACTTTGGAAGTCACCCTAAGGAGGCTTTGCCTTTGTCCCCACACAGTGGGAAGTCATTGAAGCCTGACCAGCAGGAAAGGGGTGGCGTGTAGAAAGAGGGACAGGATCAGGTCTTTGTTTTAGAAAGATCCCTGATTTGCCTGGGGGGAGGGAGAAGAGTGTGGGAGTCGGGATGGATCCAAGGCGAACAGTGAGCAGGCTGAGCAGGAGAGGACCCTGGCTGTGGAGTACAGTGGAGGCTGAGAACAGAGAGAGGAGTCACCAGCAGAGCTTGGTGGGTGGGAAAGGATGATGGAGTTTGTGACAGCAAGGCTGGATGGGTGCTGGTGCCATTCCTGGAGGTGGGTAATCTGGTGGAGAACCACATGGGGGCTCCATTGACGGTGCCTTGGAGAGATCCGTGGGGAGCCGGCCTGCAGGCACATGCAGATTTTGCGTCATCAGAGGAGAGATGGGCATTGACGAGCGTACTGTGTGAGTCATCTGTGTGGGGGTGGAAATTGCAGCCACAGGTATACCAAGATGACGGCTTCCAGGGCTTCCAGAGCACGGAGGGCAAGGAGGAAAGCGTCCAGGAAAGAAGGTTGAGGACAGAAACCACAGTGGTCAGACAGAGGGGTGGGGCGGGGGTGGGGGCTTGCTGAGTCACCCGATGGAGAAGGCAGGGAGGTGGGAGGAGACCCAGAGAGTTGAATCTCAGAGACAAGGGGGAGTCCATGGTCGGGATGAGGTTGAGGTCTACGGTCTACGGGAGAGGATTTGGTCATGTCCATGGGATCTGAAGACAGCGGGGGCCGTGGAAACTTTAGTGAGGAGCCTGGTGGTGGCTTTGGGGCTGCATCAGGTGGTTGGAACTGGGAGGAAGCGGGCAAAGGGGAAATGGATCTGCAAGTGGAGCTGAATGGAGATGGATTTGGCAGAAAGGTGATTTTCTTTATCGTGTGGCCGCTGAAAACCTGCACAACAGAACACACTGATTCCCCAGTCCCTGCCGGACCGTTGAGTGATGCTGGTGGTATTCTTCCAGTGGTGCAACCGCCCCCAGCCTCCTTTTTGGAGTTGTTCCTCCCTCCTTACCATAAACTCACCACCCCCTAAGCTTTCTGTGGAACCCGTTACGTTGCTGTGGTCCATGAGTCCCACATGGATAATTCTTAATAGAGCCCAGTGCTCAAGACAGACATTCTTGATGTGCCAAAGTAAATGAGTGTGTGGTTGCAAGAAAACTTTTGGGGATATTTTGGGTTTAACATTGAAAATTGATCTCAGGGCAGTCGTTTCAGGGGTTCATCCCACCTTTGTGGTTCCCGGATGTCTGGCGTCCATGAGAATTTGGAATTCTGGTCTAGACTGCCCCTCTTTGGGTCAAAATGGTCGCCAAGGGCAGCCAGGCACCATGTGGTTTCTCCTGGAGGCTGTTGGTAGTGGAGGCAGCCTTCTCCAGCCCTTGATGATCTGTCTTCCAGGCAAACAGAGACCAGTGGTTGTGTCTCGGTTGGCCACACACAGGCTTTGAAGACCCCAGGCACTGTGCATCAAGCTAGGACGTAGAACAGAGACACGGAGAATGCTGTTAGGCCAGTGAACTGGAATGTCCCTGGAAACCAGGACTGGAAACCTTGAGCCCAGGGCCTCAATCCCTTGAGGTTTGGGGCTGTACTGAACCGGCCTCAGGACTGCTCTTCCTTTTCTTCGTTGTCATCGTAAATATCTCCACCACATGTGTTTTGTCAATTCTGTCTTTTCGATGTATGCAACTTAATGAGAGACATTATGGTAATAGGCTGCTAGCCCTCTCCTTTGCTTCTCCACCGAGCCCCCCCACCCCCACCCCGGTCACCACAATACATTTTGGTCCCTATACATTTGTTCTTTCTTATCTCTGTCTATTAATGAGGCCATACAATATCTGCCCTTTTGTGATTGACCTATTTCACTCAGCATAATGTCTCTGAGCGCCTCCCAGACTGCTGTGACTGCTGTGGTGAGATGCTGCAATTGGATGACTCGGTTCCATCTCGTAGCGGCCTTCGGTGCTGCAGAATGAAACCCTGCCCGGTCCCGGGCCAGCCTCACAGTGGTTCTTATGTGGGAGCCTCTGTCGCAGCCACTGCGTCAATCCATTTTGTCCAGGGTCTTCCTCGTTGCTCTCCCTCAAGCTCGATGTCCTTTTCCCGGGACTGGTCCCTTCTGAGAACACGTTCAAAGTACGGGAGACAGACTCACCATATTTGGATCTAAAGAGCATTCTGGCTGTACTTCTTCCAAAACCGATCTGTTTGTGCCTCTGGCTGTTCATGGCACGTTCAGTATTCTTTGCCAGCACCGTAATTCAAACGCATCTATTCTTCTTCCATCTTCCTGATGCCTTGTCCAGCTTTCACCTGCAGATGAGGCAATTGAACATACCAGGGCTTGGGCCAGGCCCGCTGTCGCCTGCAGAGTAACAGCCTGGCTTTTCAGCATGTAAACATTTGTGCAGCAAATTTACCCCATGCAGTGCATCATTTGATCTCTTGACTGCTGCTTCCAAGCACATTGATTGTGGATCCAAGCAAGACAAAATCCTTGACAACTTTCATCTTTTCTCCATTTATCATGATATTACCTATCAGTCCAGTTGTGAGGATTTTGGTCTTCCTTACCTTGAGTTGTCATCCATACCAAAGGCTGCAATCCTTGATCTTTATCCGCAAGTGTTTCAAATCCTCACTTTCAGCAAACAAAGTTGTATCGTCTGCATATTGCAGGTTGTTAATAAGCCTTTCTCCAATCCTGGTGCTGCATGAGTCTTCATATAAGTAGCTTCACTGGCGATTTGGTCAACATACGGATCGAATGAGCATGGCGAAAGGATGCGATCCTGATGGACACTTCTTGATTTTAAACCATGCGGTATGCCCTTGTTGTGTCCCTACAACGGCCTCTGGATCCGTGGACAGGTTCCATATGAGCAGAAAGAAGTGTCCTGGAATTCCCACTCTTCCCCAGGCTGTCCATAATTTGTTACAGCCCACTCAGTGAGATGCCTTTGAATAGTCAATAAAACACAAGGGAACACCTTCTTGGTAATCTCTACTTTCAGCCAAGATCCTTCTGACATCAGCAACGATCTCACTTGTTCCATTTCCTTTTCTGAGTCTGGTCTAAATCTCTGGCAGCTCCCTGTCACACTGCAGCAGGTATCAATTCTCCATTTCTTCTCCTGGCTGAGGAGGATTCCTTTGTGAATATATCCCATATTTGTTCGTCCATTCATCTGCTTAAGTTGTTCCCACCTTTTTGCTAATACAAATAGTGCTGCATTGAGCATGTGTGTACAAGTCTCTGCTTTTAAGTCTTTGAGTAGATATCTATGAATGGAATTATGGGGTCATATGGTAGTTCTATTTTTAGTATATTTAATGAACCACGTTGTTTTACATAATGGACCATTTTGTATTTCTTTTGTTTTTTTGATATGTAGTGAATTTTATTACTCCTGATCTTATTTGTACCTTTTCAGTCACATCATGATTGGATCTTTAAAAATTATTCTCAGCGTATCTGTACCATTTTTTTCTATCTGACCATTTTGTATTTCTATCAACAATGGATAGAGGCTCCATTTTCTCCACATCCTCCCCAACGTTGGCTGTTTCCTACTGTTGCACCCCCCTCCCCCATTTTTGTACTTTTAAAATCTTAGCCTGGTGTCTTAGTTCTCCAGTGCTGCTACAACAGAAATACCACCAGATGGTGGCTTTGACCCTCAGAAACATTCCGTCACAGTTCACCAAACCAAATCCCCTGTGGCTGAGTTCATTCTGATTCCTCGTGACCCTGTAGGACAGTGGTCTCAACCTTCCTAATGCCTCGACCCTTTCATACAGGTCCTCAGGTTGTGGTGACCCCGACCATAACGTTATTTTCCTTGCTATTTCATAACTATAAGTTTGCTACTGTTATGAATTGGGCGATCCCTGTGAAAGGGTCATTCAACCCCCAAAGGAGTCGTGACCCACAGGTTGAGAACCGCTCTAGGACAAAGTAGAATTGCTCTGCAGGGTTCCCAGACAGCACAGCCTCATCTTTCACGGAGCGGCTGGTGGGTTCAAAATACTGCCCTTGAGGTTCGCAGCCCCTCACAGTTTAGGAGGTTAAAATCCCAAATTCATGGCCCTGGCATTTGGGGAAACATTCCCTCTCTCTAGGATCACAGTTTAGGAGGAAGGCCCTTATCTGTAGGCCCCGAATTTCTGAGAATCCCATGTGTCTTGGCATCAACGCTCTCCTTGATCTAGGATGTTCCTAGCATAGGGGCCTGGGTCCACATACCTTGCTCTGCTTGGAGCTCTTCTCTTTGGGGTGGGGGTGGGGTAGTAGGCCACTCTCTCCCTCCTTGGATCTTTTGTAAGTTAAGGAGTATTGCAGCCTTGCCCCGGAAACTCCTCTTAGGGCTCTGATGAGATTAAGCATCTTACAGCCCACTGTTAACCCTTTTTCAACTACTGGCCGATTCTATCAGATCCCATCCTTAGATAACTGCCAAACCACTGAGCATCATGACCTAGCCAAGTTGACACCTGTTTTTAGGGACACAGTTTAACCCACGGCACCATCCTAGTTGGAGTGAATGGTATCTCGCGGTGGTTCTGATTGACATCTCTCTGATGGCTTATGACGTTGGACATCTGTTTGTGTGTTACGTAGCCGTTTGACGAAAGAAAGCCTTTTTTGAATAGGAACTATTCCGTTCTAAAGCACAGCTTGGCGGTGCAGTGGTGAAAGTGCTCAGCTAACTACACTAAAAGGCCTGCAGTTGGAACACAGCCGTTGCTCTGCAGGAGAAAGATGTGGCAGCCTGCGTCAGTGAAGATTTACAGCCGTGGAAACGGATTGTCCCATAGATTTGTGATGGGTCAGAATCAACTTGAAAACAGTGTGTTGTTTCTTAAAACTCTTTTTTCCCCCCCGTTTTTAGGTAAGTGAAGGTTTACAGAAGTTTTACAAAAGCCCGACCGTTCATCCACATTTTGTTTCAACTCCTCCATCGCAGTCCCTTTCGTGTGCCATCACGTGTACCACATGCTCCCTGCGTTTTCTTGTCTCCATTCCGCCTCCTTTTCTCACCCTCTGACATTTGTCCTTCGATGGTTGATCCTTCTGCCAGAGGGGTGAGCTCAGTTTCAGACCTGAGGGGTGATTAAGGGCCCTAGTGCTTGGAGTTCCACCAGTCTCTGCCTGACGAGTAAACCTGGTCTCTTATATGACTTTGAGGTCCCCCCCGCCCCCCATATTTCTCCCATTCTATCCAGGACTTTCTTTTGTGACCCTTTTCAGAGCAGGTGGTCGTGGTAGCTAGGCACCATCTAGTTCATCTGGTCTCCAGGTTGTGGACAGGGATATTTGCACCGTCCACTGGACTAATTGCTGCCATATACCTTTTGATTTTATCACGCCTTTCCTGTGGATGGGAGAGTCCAGTAGTTACACCATAGATGACTCTCACAAGCTTTCTGGACCCCAGTTGTCATCCACCAAAGTAGGATATAAAATATCTTTTTTTGTGTAATGTTATGCCAATTGACTTGGCTCCTTAGAGACTGGTCCTGAGCCCACAGACTTGGCGATTCATCCCTTCAAGGCATTTAATGATGTCTAAGAGGTTTTCATAATTCTGTCCCCTGCGTGCCCCACCACCTTCTTGGATATATTTGCAGCAGACATAAATGCACATCTACACATACCTTCTGTTAAACCTATACATTTGTGGGATGTTCCCACTCTCCTTGGACTCCTGGTGGCATAGTGGTTACACATTGGGCTGCTGACCTCAAGGTCTGCAATTCAAAACCACCAGCTGCTCTGAAGGAGAAGGACAGAGCTTTATACTCTCACGTACAGTTACAGTATCGGAAACCAACAGGGAAGTTCTACTCTGTCCTATGGGATCGCCATGAGTTGGCATCGAGTTGATGGCAACGAGGCTGGTTTTCTGGTCCCATCCTCCCTCCCACATGTATTTAGCTTGACTATCCCCACATTTACTTGTCGATCACCATTCGTGCAGCATTGTGGGTACACAAGTATTTGCCTCTGTTGCCTTCAACTCTTACAAGGCTCCCAGTGTCTTTCTCAACCTCTACGGGTTTTCCTCTAACCTCCCTCTAATTGTGTATCGCCGCCCTCTTTACCCAAAAGTTAATACTTGTCTACCCTCACGTTCCTGACTTCCCCTTCTTCCTTGCCTCTCCCATCAGGGACCATCAAGAATGTTTCTTTTTGTGTGAAGACCTTTCTTGACTATTTCTCATAGTGGTCTTCTTCAATCTTTGTCCTGTTGTGATCGACTAATTTTTCTCAGTGTAACATCCTCCAGTTCGTCCATGTTATGAAATCTTTCACAGAGGCGCCGTTACTCTTTAGTTTTCCACAGTATTATTCCCTTGTGTGTAGGCCCCCAAGTTTATTCATCCCTGCTTTCACCGATGGGCATGTAGGTTTCCATCTTTTGGCTCGTATGAAGAGTGCTGAAATGAAGATGGGTGTGCAATTATCTATTGGTCTCCCGGCTCTCATTTCTCCAGAGTATCTACCAAGTAGAGGGATGGCCGGGTCACAAGGTGTTTCTGGTCCCAACTTGTTGAGGCAGTGCCGTACCACTTTCCACAGTGGTTGCACCATTTCACCACCAACAGTATCCGAGTGTCCCCAGGCTCACCACCCTCTCACCAGCATTTGTTCTTTCCTGATCCCTTTAAACTGTGCTATTGATGCTGGGATGTGGTTACACCTCATTGTTGTTTTGATTGGCATCTCTTGAGTGGCTAATGACCACACCAGCATTTCTTCATATGTTTGCTGGCTGCTTGAATGTCTTCTTGGGTGAAGTGTCTATTCGTGCCATCTGCTTGTTTGTCTGGTTTTGTTTTAATTGAGTAGTCTTTTTAAAAAAAATAATTTTATCGGGGGCTCATACAACTCTTATCACAATCCATACATCCATCCATTGTGTCAAGCACATTTGTACATTTGTTGCCATCATCATTCTCAAAACATTTGCTTTCTGCTTGAGCCCTTGGTATTAGCTCCTCATTTCCCCCCTTCCCTGCTCCCCCCTCCCTCATGAACCCTTGATAGTTTATAAATTATTATTATTTTGTCATATCTTACATTGTCTGATGTCTCCCTTCACCCACTTTTCTGTTGTCCGTCCCCCAGGGAGGAGGTTATATGTAGATCCTTGTAATCGATCCCCCTTTCCACCCACCCCCGTATTTGTCTTTTGTGTCATTGTTGAGATGTTGAGGTTGTCCACAATCTTTGGACACTAGTCCCTGTCTGATAGTTCTTTCATTGCCAAGGATTTGTTCCCAGTCTCCAGGTTCTCTTTTGAGTCTTTGGGTGAAATCTTTGGAAGCACCCAAGTGTCTACTTTTGGAAAGTCCTGGTCAGCTGCTTCGTCTTTCAGCGTTTCGTGTTTTCCTCATGCTTGGCAGTGTATTTGTGTCATACAATAGGGCCCCAAAGCCCGTCCCAATTCTCTCATGAATGATCTTTATTCGTCTAGGTTTTACATTTAGGTCTCTGATCCATCTCGAGCGCTCCTTTTGTATATCATGTGAGCTTTGAGTCCTGTTTCCTTCTTCTGCAGATAGACATCCAGTTTTGTGAGGACTATTTCTTGAAGAGACGATTGCTTCCCTAATTAATGTGTTAAAAAATCAGCTGTCAAAAAAAAATCAGCTGTCTATAGGAAGATGGATTTACCTCTGGGTTCTCAGCTCTGTTCATGGGTCTACATGTTTTTCATGGTACCAGTATCAGGCTGTGTAGTAGGTTTTGAGATCAGAAAGCAGGAGGTTTCCTATTTGTTCTCCTTCTTTAGTACTTACTGTTTTGCTTATTCGAGGTCTTTTTCCTTTGTGTGCGAAGGTGGTGATTTGTTGTTCCATCGCTTTAAAGAATGGTGTTGGCTCCTGGCTTCATTTTATCTCTAGATAAAATTTTTAGCTCTAGATAAAATTTTCAAAGTATCAACTGTTCCTATCCACGAGCATGGTATATTGTCCCATTTATGCATGTCTGTTTTATTTTCTTGCAGTAGTGTTGTCTAGTTTTCTTTGTGCAGGGGTTTTGTTTCTCTGGTTACAGTTAAGTGTTGCATTTTGGGGGTGGTTATTGTGACTGGTATTGGGTCCCTGATCGCCTGTTCAGAGTTTTCGTTGTTAGTATAAACAAATCCAACTGATTTTTATCTGTTGATCTTGTACCTTGACACTTTGCTGAATCTTTCCATTAGTCCCACCACGGCCCTTGCTGGGGCTTTGGTGTTTCCTATGTACAGGATCATACAGTCTGCAATGGAATTTTATGTCCTCTTTGTCAATTTGGATGTCATTCATTTCCCTTTCTTGCCTTACAGCTCTGGCTAAGACTTCCAGGACAGTATCGACAAGATATGATGATGAAGAGCATTCTTGTCTGGTTCCTGTTCACAAGGTGAATGCTTCAGTTTCTCTATATTGAGAGTAATGTTGATTTTGCATATATACCCTTTATCTTATTGATAAATTTCCCTTTTACTCCTATTTTGTTGAATGTGTTTACTGGGAATGAGTGTTGGGTTTTGTTCAATTCTTTCTCTGCATCTATTGATATGATCTTGTGTGTTTTTTCCTTTGTTTTATTTATGTAATGGATTGCATGGATGGTTTTTCTAATGTTGAGTCATCCTTGCATACCTGCTATGAATTCTGGCAGTAGCATTTTTTTAAATGCATACAAGGGCCATTCCAAAGAGAACCTGGAATTGCATTGGGCAGAGTGGAGCTTTTGTAGTATGCATTTTCCCCCACTAGGTGAGCATCGAGCAACTCACTCTGAGTTAGTGTACCCAGTGGCTTTGCCTGGGAAGGTTCTTGCTGGTCACAGTGAGTTTTGTCATAGAAGCAGTTCACTTGAGACTCCTTTAATGTGATGGCTGACTTAAGAGAACAGCATGCAGCTGTGAAATTTTGTTTCCTGATCTGGAAAGATGCCGCAGAAACTGTTGTGATGTTGAACACAGCTTACAAAGACAGAGCTATGGGAAAAACTCAAGTGTGTGAGTGGTTTTCTCCTTTCAAAAAAGGTGAAATGTTGATTGATGACAAATCTTGTTCTGGATGTCCATGAACTTCCTGAATGGATGAGAATGTGGACTCCTAGTGCATTTGGAGTTCATTCCACCAGGTCAGACTGTTAATACAGCTTTCTATTTAGAAGTTCTGAAAAGATTACATAAGAGTATGTAACAAAAAAGGCCTGATTTATGGCAGATGGGGGACTGGTTTTGCCACCATGACAGTGCACCTGCTCATACAGTCATCTCAGTTCCCCAGTTTTTGTCAAAAAACAGCATGCCTCTCTTGCCCCACAAACCTTACTCACCTGACCTTGCTCCATGCAACTTCTTTTTGTTTCCTCAAATGAAGAGAGACATGAAAGGACAGCAATTTGAGGATGTAGAAGAGGTGAAGAAAACAACAAGGGAGATGCTGCCAGCCATCCAAACAGATGAGCTTGAAAATTTTTGCCAATAATGGAATTGCAGATTTGACAAACATATTAAGTGTAATGGAGGGTACTTTGAAGGTGATAAGGTTGTTTTGTAAAAAACCAAAAACATAGCTTTGGAAAAAATTCAATTTTGGGGGTTACCCCTCTTATGCTAAGGCTAGCTCTCCAGCTACCCCACTACCTAATACCACGAACCAAACCCACTGCCAATGAGTCGATTCCAACTCGTAACAATGATACGGAACAGTATCACTGCTCCCGAGAGTGTCTGAGGCTGTAAATCTTCATGGGAGCAGAAAGCCTCATCTTTTCCCTCCAGAGCAGCTGGTGGGTTCAAACTACTGACCTGTGGTTACCAGCCCAACACATAACCAACCACACCACCAGGGTACCTTACTACCTGATGCTGTGCATTAAAGCCCTTGCCTTGACTAGGAGAAAGGGAGAGATAACAGGATCCCAGGAGTACAGGGTGGACAGACAGTACAGGGTGGGTGGACAGACAGTACAAGGTGGGTGGGCCTTTTTATGTGGCAGTGTCCTTGTGTCAAGCCAGCAGGCTAGTGGGTGGCTGGAGGCAGCCATAGGAGCAGTGGCAGGAGATGCTGATCCCTGGGTTGCTGCCGTCACTCTGTGTTCTGGAACTCAGGAGCACCGGTTCTGGAATCCTCCACCGTCTGCTTCTGGAAGTGGCAGCCACTTGCTGTTCCCCCAATTCTGCCAGCACCTAGTTCTTTGCATCACATCCCTTCCTGCTGCAAAGGGATCTCATGGAGATACAATATTTATAAAACCCCAAGCCCGGATCTAGAGTGGTTTCTGTTCCCTGGGCCCCAACCAAAGTGTAGCCGGTGCAGCAGCCTAGCAAGAGCAGCTTGTGGTTACAGAGGACAACGTGCCCATAGCACAGGGCCCAGGATGAAGGGTCCCATCCAAAGGCACGTGAGGGGCAAGGTGACCAGACACCAGGGTGAGAGTCTAAAACCGGGTACATGACCCACAAAAGGAGGCAACCTGAGGAGGTGGGGGTTCCAGCTTGTAGCCCCAACCCTCAGCCCAGCGTGGTATCTAATCTTCAAAGCTTGCAGACTCCATCTCTCGGGGTGTGTGTGTGTGGGTGTTGGGACTAAGTGGGACAGACAGTGTTGGTGGTCCCCAGTGCAGTTTGAGTCGGGCAAGGATAGCTAGGACTTCGGAAAGGTCACTCACACAGCTGTCGAGCAGGGAGGACTGCTTGTCCAGCGTCTTCCTGGAAACTTGTGGTGAGGAGATGCTCACTGACTGGAGAGGCAGCATCGTCTTTTTTGGACAACTTGGCCTTTGCATGCGTGATCATGGGACTGTCCAGAACCCTGGACTGAGCAGTGTAGGGGGGTGGGGCATGGGGTGAAGCAAAGAATATGGGCGTTGTCAACTAGCCCTCAAGAGGCACATGGCTGCCCATAGTTGTATTCATGGGGCAGGTAGGGCTCCTTTGCATTTTAATATCTTAAGGTGAATCACACTTTCTAACTGGCCACAGGTTCCCCTCCCTCATGTGTCAAGGCATTCACTTCTGCTCTTTGAGTTTCTGACCCCAGTATATGAGGGATTTTAAGGTGCCCTGGTGGTGTAGTGGGTTCCAGTCAGCAGTTCAAAACCACCGTCTGCTCTGTAGAAGAAAGATGTGGCTGTCTGCTCCCATAAGGAGCTAACGTCTCCAAATGCAGATGGGCAGTGCTAATCTGTCCTGCAGGGTGACTATAAGTCAGAATCCACTCCACAACAGTGAGCTGGTGTTTGGTTGTTTCAGGACTGAGAATGCTTAAGGCTGCGTGTAGCCAAAGGATTCCCGGGGTGTGGGACTCCTGGTGGCAGTTGCAGGCGGATGACCCCAAACAAACGCAGCAGACAAATCCAGTTCCTTCAAGATACCCATTTCCATCCCCGCCTCACATCACGAGGTCTGGAAGTGCCGGTGAGTGGCCAAAGTCCCTTTAATATCCCTGAATTGCGTTACAAGTAATACTGCTGGAAGTAGGGTAGGGATGAGGGTCTGGGGCACGAGTGGGGGTGAGTGTGGGGAGGGGGAGCGCCAAGCGCTCGTACAAAATATGGCCAAAAGGCTTAGCATGCATGGAAAATTATTGCTGTCGGAAGTTCCTATTTACATAGTAACACCCTCCGTAATTGCTTCTGCGATCTCCTTCCCTCCCCACCATCCCTGCAGGCTCCCTTCCCCAGTAGGCCTGCCTGGGCGAAGGAACACCCATTGCTTCAGAAGCCCTCCAGAAGCAGTCCAGCCCCAGGGCCCCTCCAGCCTCCATCCTCCTACGGGGCGGAGTCTGGGGCGCGGGAGGAGGCCGGAGAGTCCAGGACTCCCGCCCCACAACTGGGCTCAGAGCGCTGGGAAAAGGCGTGTGCTTAAAGCAGAGGGGTCAGGGCTCGTGCGCGCGCGCGCGGAGGCGTGTGCTTCGGTCCTCGCCCGGGCATGCAGAAGCTCGGCGGGGGCGGGGCGGGGGAGGTAGTGGCGGCCAATGGGCGGGCGGCTGGCAGCCCCGCCCCTCTGCCCGGGAGAGTTGCATAGACGTGGCCGGGAGGGGGCGCTCCTCCCGGGGAGCGGGCCGGAGGCCCCAGCGGGGCCCGGGGCTCAGTCGGTCCCTGGAACCTGGGGTCCCTCGAGAAGGGGAATATATTGAAGCGTCCGGGAGGCATGTCTCTCTGGGCTTCTTGGGGGAGGGGGGAGGCTTAGGAGGGTAGGGACCGGCCCAAGTGTGGACCTCTGATCCCCCCCGTCCCCCGCTGAGTGCCAGCAGGTCACCTCTCCTCTTCCCTCCCCTACCCCTTGAACCCTGGGGTGCGGTGGGCTTCTCCCTCACCCCAGCGTCTTCTCTTTGAGGATGGGGTGGGGACGACAGCCCCCTATGGCCATGCTTGGCTTCCCGGCCTCCCAGTCCAGCTGGGGAAGCCAGACCATCCCTGGGGGAGGCCAAGAGATAAATAAAAGAATAAATAGATAAATAAATAAATACACAATAAATAACTGGAAAAACCCAGCCAGACGGGAGTGAGGAGGGGGAGGGGGAGCATTTGTGAGGTGCCCCAAACCTTCCCCTAATAAATGCGAGGGGCACCTGTAGGGCTGGGGGTCGGGGAGGAAAGTGCTCAGAGAATCCAGTGTGTGTGTGTGTGTGTGTGTGTGTGTGTGTGTGTGTGTGTGTGTAGACTCAAGGCTGCAAGCCCAAGGAGGGTCTGCTTTGGGTGCAGGTCTCTGGGATGCCCCTGGAATTCTCCTGGGTCTGGTGAACTCCAAGGGGGGAAGGGATGAAATTTCCATGCATCTAAGAGTGAGGAGCATGTGGTGTGGGGGTGTGGGGGTGGGGGTGGGGTGGACAGCTAGACCTAAGGTCCGTGTCTAGAGAAAGTTCTGGGCCAGATGGGGGACTCCCAAGAGGTGGCCCCAGATGGGCACACACTGAGAGGGAGACTCAGCTGTGAGAAGGAGGGACCAGGATGGGTTGTGACCTGGAGCTGCAGGGCCTGGACGGAGGTGTGGGTGGGCAAACCGAGGGTGTGTGTGTGTGTGTGTGTGTGTGTTAACAAGGGGTGTGGGCCTGGACGGAGGTGTGGGTGGGCAAACCGAGGGTGTGTGTGTGTGTGTGTGTGTGAGTTAACAAGGGATGTGGACCTCAGGGTGGGGGGCTCTTAAGGAGAGGCTGCTGAGAAATGAAAGGAAGGCAGGTCTGAAAAGTTAGAAGGGAGGAGGCGCACAGGAGGAAGAGAATTCGGGTGTGGCGCCCGAGAGTTGCGGACCTGGTGCCTGAGTTGGGAGCCCTAAGGGCGCAGACAGGGGGTCCAGGTCCTAGGCTTGGTGGCCTGAGAGGACAGGACGCTGTGGGTCGGCGTGCGCAGGGGGAGATAGTGCTGGAGGTGAGTGATGGACTAGGGGTGGGGAAGGAGAGAAGAGTTCCAGGCCGGAATAGGGGTTCGTGCCCCCGCCCCCGGCCCTCGAACCCGAGGGGAGTGGGAAGGGATTGGGTGGAAACGCAGCTGGCGGACCGAGAGGGCGCTGCGGGCAGGAGCTCCCGGAGCCCCTGGCGAGCGCGCGGCTCAGCTGGTGGGGCCGGCGGCGGGCGGCGGGGGCGGCTCGGCGCCCTTGACGCAGGCCGCCTCGCAGTGCTTGTGGAGGTAGGACTTGAGCGCGAAGCTCTTGTCGCACTGGCGGCAGCGGAAGTGCTTGAAGGCCGAGTGCGTCTGCATGTGCGCGCGCAGGTTGGAGCGGTCGGCGAAGGCCTTGCCGCAGTGCGCGCAGCCGAAGGGCTTTTCGCCGGTGTGCGAGCGCATGTGGCCCTGCAGCAGCCAGGGCCGCGAGAAGGCCTTGCCGCACACGCCGCACTTGTGTCGCAGGTTGTGCGTGAGCACGTGCATGGCCAGCGCGGGCATGGACACGTACGCCTTGCCGCACGTCGGGCACTTGCGCGCCAGCTGGCTGTCCAGGCT